GAAAAGTTGGCGAGTCCACAATTTGATTTGTATTTTTTTAACGTAAATAATATTTATCTGCGAGACATGGGGGGGAAAGGCGTCAATAAGAAGCTATGCCACATATTTTTTTTCAGCCGGCTTCCAGCAGCAGATAAAAATTGTTGAAATGGGGCTTCTGGGATCACAAAGATTGAGATATTCGGACCCATTTAATTCGGAATGTCTTTCTTATCTTCTTTATTGAAAATATTTTTCGAATCAGGGACACAAGAATGGACGATTTTTCAACAGCAGCGCAGAGGATGTTGCGCTGTCGTCGTCGTCGACGTCGCACGCGACGAGTTTGATTGGTGGTCTCGGAGCGCCCGGAAAGAGCCTGAGTTCGTCGATGCTGTGTTCGTCACTGTCGGCGGAGACCCTGGAGCCCAAGTCCGACAGCACGGGGTCCTTCAAGGCCAAGAGCAAGCAGTTAACCCGCTGGGGCGGAATTTTCGGCAACTCCAAGGTCAGTCCCACAGCAATATATTCCTCAACCGCATTCTCTTGCAGCTTTCTTCGTCTTATTTCTTGTGCCCCCCTCCTCCCGGGTCTAACCTTTATTCTCTTCATTTTTTATTTTTTTTTTGTATGCGGGAACTTTACGCTGTGCTGTATTTGGTTCCATTTGAGTGCCGGATGCAAATTGTGCGTCTATATAGCAGATTTGTGTTCTAGCTAGTTTAGAAAAATCTGTTCCTGATTTTTTATTTTTCACTGATTGCTCGAGGGGTTTTATTTCTGAAAACAAGAGGTTCGTATACCGTCTTGCCATGAGCGATATCATGAGCTTTGTCTTGTATGAATGCAATAATTCGGATTTTTTTTTCTGTAGAAAGAAGACCTTCCCTACTCGAGTTGCATAATTACAAATAAGAAAGGACAATCAATCAAAGGCTGAATTTCTTGTAGGATCTAAATTCAGAAATTGTATGGTATATTTCCGTTCCATTCTTGTGAAGTTTTTTTTAAATCTATCAAATCAAGGATCAGAATGAATCTTCCGTGAGTTTTTAAAATTGTTAGCTCTCTGTAATTTTATAAATTTTTTCTGGCATAATTTGATGAAGTTTGAAGAACATATGTCAAGATGGCATGGATGCTTTCTGGTCAAAAAAGGAAAGGAAAATGTTTCGGTGATCCGAATTCGTGCAGTCTTATCAAACATCTTATCTATATGTGTGATTAAAAATAGTGTCTGACTTTAATGTAGTGGAAAAAGGAATGACGCTGGATTGGGAATCGTATTGGAGGCGAACAACAAATTCATTCCCGGAAACTGACGAAATGAGATCTTGCTAGAAAAAAGTGTCACTTCTTAAAACTTGAATCACGAGACTGAAATATTCCGCGGATGAAATAAGCGTAGTTTTTTGCCCAACAAGCACAAGATTAAGATTCAGACAGATAGGGGGATCAGATTTTTCATTATTGGAGAATTTATAATCACTGTTTAGGTAATTGAGGATCATATTCGAGGCGAAGAACAATTTCATTCCCTGAATATGATCAAAATAAGATTATTTTGGCGAAATTGTCATCGTTTCAATCTCAAATAACCGGCGTTTTGCTCAACAAACAGCTGGCTAAAGATTCCACCAGAGTTGTGATCTAATTTTTAACTTGATCCAACAACTTGGTGAACAAAACTTTATTGTATCTTCAAAATCTGATGCAGATGAGTTCATGTTGGTCAAATTTCCATCGTTTCGATCGAGAGCATAAAATAGCTCGCTGGTGTATTGAAAAAAAAAATGCGGCGTTCTCAACTAACAGCTGGCTATAAGATTTATCCAGCCTATAGATGCCATCTAATTTTTGCCTCAATGGAAAAAATTAATCCAACTGAATCGAGAATCCCGTACAGCAGTAGCCGAACAAAAAAGTACTGTGTCTCCATGTTGGCCAAATTTTCGCAATTTTAATCGCGAAACTCACGCCTCGGCGTTCTGCGTTCGTTTTTTCTTATTATTTTTATCAGCAGTATTTCCGTCTGAATTTTCTAAGCCTCGTGGTTGAATTGCTTTCCAGCAGCGGCTCTGCTGTAGCCGAATATATGCATATATCTCTATATACTGCGCATTTTTTTCATCTGGAAAATGCTGTCGAGAACAAGTGGACCATCAGGCGAGCGGGAAAACCAGACTGGAATGAAAAGTCCTCTGGTGCGGTATGCAGCTCCTGTCACGGCAGCTGTCGCGTGTCGACGCGGATGAATCGGAAGCAGATGAAAACCTTCTCAAGGGGAAAACTGAATCGATGCCTCGATGATCGCATTTCCGAAAGTTCTGGACCCTTTTTGTTGTTGTTGTTGTTGCTAATTTCCATTCCCTCGTCTGCTCAAAGTGCGAGGAATCATTTTCTTTTTTTTTTCTTACCAGCACTTCTTTCAAACTGATAAGGAAATTCGGCAGAGGGGAAGTGTACTAAATTTCTGCTTTTTTTCAGCCATCGAAAGTAGAAAGTTAGTGCCGAAATTCTGCCTTCATCGAAATGTGCAAAGCGCTTTGTGACGGCCGTTCGAGCCGAGTCGACAAAAAGAAAGAACAGATGGAAATGTGCGATTACCGAGACAGAGAGAGGGAAAAAATGGGACATTTTTCTTGGCAAAGAATTTTTCCGCCGAAAACTTTTGCGCGAATCTCTGGGTTTTTGTCCCTCGACTAATTCCCGGTGGCGGACGTGCCGCCGCGTGGCGGCTATCGATCGACTGCTGGAGAAAATTGTGGGAAAACCCCCCGGGGATCTTCTTCAAGGCACAATATCTCTGCTGTGAAAATTCCTCACTGATAAACCTGCATACTATGCATTCATTCCTCCTTTTTTTTCCCTCATTCATAATTCCTGATTGTTGATATCTTGGGAATAGCATTAGTCAAGCCTATTTTTTTCTCTCTCTCCTTCTTTGAGCATGCAAATGCAGACTGCACATCAANTTTCCATTCCCTCGTCTGCTCAAAGTGCGAGGAATCATTTTCTTTTTTTTTTCTTACCAGCACTTCTTTCAAACTGATAAGGAAATTCGGCAGAGGGGAAGTGTACTAAATTTCTGCTTTTTTTCAGCCATCGAAAGTAGAAAGTTAGTGCCGAAATTCTGCCTTCATCGAAATGTGCAAAGCGCTTTGTGACGGCCGTTCGAGCCGAGTCGACAAAAAGAAAGAACAGATGGAAATGTGCGATTACCGAGACAGAGAGAGGGAAAAAATGGGACATTTTTCTTGGCAAAGAATTTTTCCGCCGAAAACTTTTGCGCGAATCTCTGGGTTTTTGTCCCTCGACTAATTCCCGGTGGCGGACGTGCCGCCGCGTGGCGGCTATCGATCGACTGCTGGAGAAAATTGTGGGAAAACCCCCCGGGGATCTTCTTCAAGGCACAATATCTCTGCTGTGAAAATTCCTCACTGATAAACCTGCATACTATGCATTCATTCCTCCTTTTTTTTCCCTCATTCATAATTCCTGATTGTTGATATCTTGGGAATAGCATTAGTCAAGCCTATTTTTTTCTCTCTCTCCTTCTTTGAGCATGCAAATGCAGACTGCACATCAAGCACACATGCCGCGTTCTGTATTGGGATTTATTACGCTTCTTCTTGGGACAAAAAATGTGATTTAAGAGAGCCTTATATTTGATTTACTTTCTTATTTGTTGCCTTCTTGGATTCACAGGTCAAGTGTGATATTGCGTCTGCATAAGGCTACTGAAAATTTTCGAAAATCCAATTACATGCAAATATTTTCTGCCATTTTAAGAGATCCCGCTGGTAAATGAAGCATGATTAAAATTAAAGGACTGGTCTGTTGTGCCAATTACGTTGAATACTATGAAATTTTCAACAATTCTGTAAATGTGGTAAAATTATTCTGCTGTTAATTTTTTAGCTCAGTTTCCAGGATTTTTCTTTTGAAATTGAATTGAAGTTGTTCCACTCAATCTTCCAAAGTCGAATTGTATGCGATTAAAAGTTGTGCGATGTGCGCATCGAAATTTCGGAGTCGTTTCGCAGCAAGAAAATGCTCAAGTCTTTAATTTTAAATGCATGCGCGAAAACCTTATTTTATTTATCTAAATTTATGTCAATAACCTTCGTAAAACATGGAGAGAAATATGAATCGGAACGTATATCCTTGACTAGGCAGAAAAATTCGGTGCATTTGATTTTTATTTGCAATAAAACGCCTGTTTTCTCGAACGATCCGATCCCGTCGAAGCATTACTAAAGTACTCAAATGAATGATTTTTTTTTTTTAATGTTGGCCCCCATCGTTTAGAGAACGTAATGAGATGACAAATGACAGAATGCATGCCTTGTTTGGACTGGATCTTCAAAGGGGATTGTCAACCAAATGAAGGGGGCAGCTGCATGCAATCAGCTGATTGCTTTGGCAGCGAACTTGAGTGTAAATTCAAGAATGCTATGCATTAGGATGAGAAGACATATGAATTTTCAGCAGTGTCTACAAGTAACTTTCAACTTAGATACAAATATGACCGCACTTTAAAAATTAAACAATACCAGCAAATTACATAATTTTTCGGAAAATTTAAGAATCAAAATCTACAAGATCAGCCGGGTCTAAAATTTGGAGAAAATTTGTTTTTCGATTTTACAGAAAAGGCTGAAAATCAGCAGAAAAATGCAGCGATGAAGCTACCACTCTCTAGATTATACTTTTGAGATATTCTACAAGAGAGGTTATTATTATATCACCAGGATTTTGCTCCTTATATGTCCCAAACCCAGACATTTCCTGCGATTGTTTTCGTTCATTGAAAGATTCAAAACTGAACGTGTGTTTCTATTTTCTCTATATATCACTTGAGAATTTGTTTCAACTGCGAACCTTTTTTTTCAAGCCAGTGTGGTTTTCTCTTTGTTTTTCAGGACGTGGACCGAATGGAAGAGTTGGCCGAGCAGCTGAACCAGTACGGAAAATACGGAATCCCTCCGTTGAGTTCGGATAACTCTTTGGCCAGTGAGCACGGTAAGAAATCCCGGCAATTTCCCGAATTTATTGCTGCTCGGCTCTCCTACAGAACCTGACCGGAAGTACTATAGCATTTTCTGGCCAAAAAAGGCAAGGTTTAAGCGAGGGCATCAAGATAAATATCGGTCGATATGAAAAAAAAGCGCGCATTTTTCATTAAAAATTAATCTTTCTCATTTGCCTCATAAACTCACGTTGGAGTCAGTCGAACACATTTTTATGGACTTTTATTCAACCTGACTTGAGGTATGTATGTTTGTCTAAATTTAGCAAAGTTTGCAACTGAAATTCAACCCACTTGCAAATTTTCAGTCTAGCTAAATATTTCCACACTTGTCAAACATTGATGACAATACAATGTATCAAAATTTCAGAATTATTAGATGACCAGAAAATTGTAAAATTGACCAAATACAAATTATCATGAACCACTTTTTTAAGCCCTTTAAAACTGTTCAAATTGATTGAAATTTGAGGGTTGTATTTATTAAGCATTGCTTTAAACATTGCGAGAGTTTCCAAATTTTGGAATGAAAAAGAAAGTTTCTATTTGAAAAGAGAGTAATAAAAGTGTGGAACCTAGTGAATACCTTCTTATTGTCCTCTATACTAAATAAAAATTCGGCCCCACACTTTTATTAGACCACTACATCAGGATATTTTTGGAAAAGTTTATTTTTCCCCATTTTTAGTGCATAAAATTCTATTCATGTTTTAAAAACATTTTTGCATGTTTGTATTTTCAGTCCTACAAGCCAAAAAGAAGGGTTTTGAAGTTTGCTCTTTCAAGTTTTAATGTTGGAACATTGAAAAAGTAGATTGTGACCTTGCTAATTTTTCCAAGCGACGAAATTCTTGAGAAGTATAAAGGTTCGAACGTCCCAAAAATTTCAAGGAGCAGAAAATTGTTGTATATGTCCACGTGAATTGACCCCGATGCTTAATTGTTTGCCCCGTATCCTAAAAGAATATATTTAGTTCCACATTTTTACTCTTTTTGATGATCATCATATTGATATCAGCTTCATGATGAATTTACAGAAAAGTTTTTCAATTTGAGGAAGTGAACCGGATAAAATGAAATTAACATCGACCGCTTCAATTCGGTTGACGAATTTAAATTTCGTCGCAGTGTTGATCGAAGCCCGTGGTATTTGAGCTTCTGTCATGCATGTATTTAAAATGGCTGGAGTCGTATATTTGCGTGCATTTCCCTGAAATGCCTGTATGTAAAAAATAATTATAATATAACCCCCCCCCCCCCAAGTTTTTATATTACTCTGCTCACTGACCTGGTTAATTTATCCGCCTTCGAGTGGGGATGGTTTTGTCGAACGATTTTTTAAAATAAGGTTTTCTTTTTTTGACAACCCTCATCGACATGCTGATGGTGATTCGCTAAAATGTTCCTGGACAAAATATTAATTCATGTGTGAAAGTACTTGCTTGCTGAACAGTTCCGATTTAGCTGCGCATCATTAGGCTTTCATGTGCGCCCGTTTGGCTTTGTGATTGCCGAAAGCTTTTCAGCAAATAAGAGAAATGTTGCTCAGTATTTTTGCAAAAATGTTTTTTTTTATGTTTTTGAGCAGAGGACTTCCGGTTGGAGGACGACTGGACGTCAATCGTTGCAGACGCGAGTCGGTTTTCAGAAAGGAAACGTCAGCAACAAACGGCCATTTGGGAGTTGATACAAACTGAGGCTGCTTATATCGTCGATGTCGAAGTAATCACTAAGGTATGATATTTTTGTTTTCTTACGACAGATAAAGATCATTCAAAATTCTTGCCACGGCCGAAATGCTCTTTTTTTGATGGACGATTTTTCGTCCTGATGATTTTAGAGCAGTTTTTCTGGTACTGTATCATGAAGAAAAATTTTTTTCCCTTCATTTTTATTTTATTTAGCTTTTCTTGGCATGCCTGATGAACTTGCGGAAATCCCGAATCCTGGTGGACATCGACGTTAACAAGCTGTTTGCAAATATGCAAGATATTTTGAATGCAAATGTGGATTTTTGGCGCCGCACGATTTTGCCGATGCTTGAGATTGCGAGGTCTTCCAAGGAGCCGCTCGACCCTTCACTCATGAAAGATGGCTTTTGCTCGGTACGTTTTTGCAGTTTTCCTGCCGATTCTTCAAGCATAGAAATCAAAATCCTTGGAGGAAGAAAAAAAACTTGTCGAAATACGCCGTCGAGAAAATCGAAGTTCGTTTGGCATTACTTGAACCCTCCTCGTTAACCCAAAAGATTCATTGGCCACACGGCTTTTGACGTCGGTAAAGTTTTTCCGAATAATGATTTAGAAGTTTAGAATACTCCGCTGACCTACAGAAAAGTAATCTATTGGGAAATATAACCTTGACGAAGATCATCCAATAAGTGAATACAGAAACCCGAGCAAAAAAAATCTCTCGAAAGAAAGAAAAAAGATCAACCAGAACGAAAACACCCAAGTCTTCGACCCCATGCACGATGCAAAAACAAGTACCTTTTTCAAGATTCATGCCTTCCATGGATTTGAAATTTTGACAAACCGGATTTACTCGAGTACCACACGCACCCTTTTTCTTTAAATTGACAAGAAAAAGAGTTTGCGAGTCACGTAGACGGTGATAAAATTTGCAAAAAAAAATATGAGAAGTTGAAGTGCATGAGCATCACACTTGACGATGATGATGGGGAAATTCTCGGCAGGAATTAGAGAAAAAATTGAAAATCAATTGAGTTCAGGTTTATTTCTTGTGTCTCCTATTTTTTAAATGCAGTATATTGAAGTTATTTAATAGAAATGGGGTTCGCGTCTTATATCCTCAGGGGTATACTCGTGGTAAGATGTAAAAAGCAAAGAATATAATGGGAAAGTTTTGAAAGGAATTTTTTTTAATATCGAAGCGATTTAAAATAATTGAATTGAGTCTGAATTCATTTAAAAACTTGAACTCTTGTTTTTGTTTTTTGAAACATGGAAGTTTTTCACGAGAAAAAAAAAGGGTTGCGCACCTTATATTGGAGGGTATATACTCGAGTAAATACACGGCAAGATGCAAAAAAATAAATTAAAAAATAAAATTGCTAATGAATTTTTGCCTGATTGCTTTTCTCTCGTCGAGACCATTATTGGAATGTCATTTGCTGGCCGAGGATGCAAGTGGTCAAATTTCCGAAGGCGCGGCCCGGCGGGTTCGGATTCTAAGAATAGCCTTATTGGAGATTGAGGAGGATGACTATGGGTGCCAACGATGCACGTGAAAACATCCCAACACTGCCATAAAGCTTCGCAAAAAAAATTTCAGTCTTCCAAAGCATTCTCGATTATTAGTTATGCTGAAATCTTACTGAAT